TTGCCTCCCGTCTCAACGGCTCGCGTCTGCCGTGCACGCCGTGTCCGCCGGGGACCTTCTTTACGATCCCCACCTTTGAAGAGAAAAACAGACGATGATGTTACGCGAATGACGGGGTGGGGACAGCAGGCTCTGAGACGGAGTCAGCAGGACGCATCGCGGAAGAGGGGAAGGGTGAACGGCGACGGGAGGACTGGACGGGCGGAAAATGGCGAGGCAGACACCAGTTCTGCTTCTGCCAGTTGCCCCCCACAGCCGAGGGAAACTGAAGTCGCGCTGGGCAAGCGGAGAGGCGGAAATCATCGCAATTACAGTGAGCAAAGAAGACCCAAGCAGGACCCAAGTATGTTGCGGTCACCGGTGCTCTCGAGTCTGGAAACGGATCGGTAGGAAACGGTATTCAGGTGTGTCTCTCTCCAGAAACCCTTCCCGCCCTTTCGCCCTGCCCTTTCCCATTCTCCACCATCAGGGAGATGAGAAATAAAGCGGTTCTCGATGGACCGCGGGGAGGCTTGGCACTAAGCAGAAGGAAAGGCAGCAGGCCAGAAGACGCTCTAGAAGGAAAAGCAAAGCCTTGTCCATCAAAGGGATTCCTGGGATCTGCCTCTTTGCCATGGCTTTTTTCTCCATTCAGGCTTTCCTCCCTTCATGAGTGGACCCTCGCCATATTTTCGGCATTTCCTTCAACTCGGCGTTGACATCCACATGGTGGCAGAATTCGTGGTCTCGGAGGCTGGGAGCACGGTGTCAGGACAAGTTGAAGCGTCGTGTTCCCAACTTCCGACGACTTGACATGATTTGTCTCGAGATTTTCGGCGTGGCAGGCTGATGTTCTGCCCACCAACTCCACATCTCATCTGTCTGTAATCCATTTCCCCCTTCTCCTCTCTGTTGTTACCCCCCCCCCCCCTTCCTTCGGCTTTTAATCTTGACATGGAAAGTCAGAGTTTGAACTTTGAAGATGAGATGAAAATGATCATCACGAAAGCATCATTGAGGAGACATCATGCCTGTTGGCTATCAACCAAGTATAGACGATGACGGGTCGGCGGGAACAACCTGAGAAGAAGAGCATACTAAGCTCGCACAGACGTGAGGGGGTGTAAACTCTGTTGGTCCAAACATGGGATGATCCTGTGATCTGAGCTGCTGCATTGATAACGTGGACCATTAGAGGAACCTTTTATGATTGCCTTTTGGTTTCTTTCGTCAATCTTTGGGTGTAAGGGCATTGCTTGATCCGGAACAAAAGGTTTCTGACAAACATGGGACGGAAACTGTCTACCGAATTTGTTTCCCATTCCGATCACATTTCTGTTCGATGCGAGAACTAGTGCTAGTGCTAGTTTGGACTATGTGCCTTATTTGACTGCCCAGTGTCTAAATTGAATGGATCTCTCTTACTATGTCCCTTTGTGGGATGATGCCTCTGCCTGGAATGAGCGTTTCATAGGATTTGTATTTGCTTCTGAACCTTGGAAACTAAGGCATGCAGAACGGGCGAGCGTAACGAATCAGGCAAGAGGCAAAGCAAGAGGCAAAGCAAGAGCAGGAGATGATGAAATGAGGAAGAGAGAAAGAAAGAAAGAAAGAAAAAAATAAGTCCTGAATCTCCAGCCCAGCCACACAACGGCGAGGCAGATTTTCTCCCTTGGTTCTTGCAGAAAACAAGTTGTCCAGATCCATTTCGAGAAAATGGTCCATAGGTACAGAGTACCCCATGAGTTTGTAGAAGGGGAGATAGGAAATAGAAAGAAGGAAGGAGAAACGAAGCTCCACTCTGAACACCTCGTTCTCTTTCATTGCGGCGGCTTCGTTGCCGCAATTCGGTTTACGAGTAAGTTTTGGCCCAAGTTGGTCAGCCATGGATTCTGTCGTAATCTCTTTTGTCTCTTTCTCTTTCTCGATTCGTATCTCTTGTGTTTCCCCTCTGGAGTTGCTTGGAGACAATCAAACTCCCAATGGACGTTCTATTCCATTCATCTTCTTCTCTGAGGCTCTGAGCTCTCGGTGAGATTCTCTGATAATGTGTGATGTGAAACCGCGGGGGTATTAGCCCCTCCGATGAAAATGAGGCCATTTTGCGAGTCGTTCTTGTTAAAGCTGATGACGATGGACATTCTTCTTCATCTATGATAAACCCTCTTTATTTCTTTCCCATTTCCTTACTCCGTATTATGGCCCCCATTCTATCTAATTGAGCTTCTCTCCTCACGCCCACCCGTGCACACACACACACGCCCCCCTCCCCCATCACTCCCTCATCATCCACATCCACACATACGCACACAAGGCTAATCTGGAGTTCCGAGGGACCGATTTACACCCTGGCGACTCAATCTAGATATCCTTGTCAAGCTGGGAAGAATCAAAATGCGGTGATGCCTGTTCAGGGTACTTCTTTGGTTCTTTGGTGACTGGAAGTTCGGATCGGGCGAGGGATAGTATATTAGATCAACCAAAGAAAAATCCTCACGAGATCCCAAATGTGGACTTACTAGGCATCCTAGAAAAGAGGAAGAACAGAAAGAGAACAATCTATCGAAGCGGCTCCACCTTCTCCTCCTCCTTCGTGTTTCTCCCATCTTGGAGCTTCCAAAACGGCCCCCAAAGAGGTCGCACCCCTCCCCCCCCCCCCCCCCCGCCGGCCTTCCCGGCAGAAGTGACGAGCATGAATGAGATGAACTATATCGCACTCTCACCGCCAGCCGCTCGGTCGGCCGGTAGGTCCTCCCCAGATTTGGTTGTCCAATTTGAAGCAGTGTGGCCGTGTAAGTAAGATGAGAGGTCCCGGCGATGAACGGCGGTGGGAGTTGTGGGCTGGGAAAGAGGCGCGTGAACGCGTAGACCCTGTTGCCTTCGTGTTATTCATCTACGAAAGAGCACTGCCACGGGAAGAGACCAGGGAAAGGGCAGAAGTCGTCAGAACCCGTGAGAGGGAGGCAAGAAACACTGTTCGTAGCATGGGTGGTGGGGGTGTGATGCCGTAGCCGGTCATTCACCTCTTCTCGAGTTGCCCTGCTCACTCTCCTCGATCAAGTTCATCTGGGGAAGGGGATTCTAGCCATTATTTTGACTCAACGACCGCGCGATACCCGCTCGGCAGTCGGACAGTGAGCGGGCAAGACCGCCTTGTCTTCAATACCCAGGTGAAAAGCTCTGTGTTCCTCCATCTCCGATGCCCAGGGGCGCAATGAAGGAACCCGAAACCTCACAGTCAATGGATGGATGGCCCCATCTCAAACTTGAAAAGGTAAGTAAAGTACTCTTGGGGGCCGAAAGAGGAAAGGAGCTCGCAGACAGGAAGGGAAAGGAGCTCTGCGAGTCTACCTTACGAGTGAGGAGTACCTCGGTAACTACCCAGGTAAGAGACAGAGAGAGAAAAAAAAAGAAATAATGGACAGAGAGAGACGGTTCATAATGTCTTAGACGCTTAAATGCAAATCACCAGAAACAAAGAAAAAACCGTTCTCCTTTCTTTGCGCAAACACCCCTTCCAAAAGTTCCAGTCCATGATCGAGGCTCATGGGAGAGACAGAATGGGAGAGGGAGGGAGAGCGTTTGGTCCGCCTTGCCCGCTTTGCCGCCCCTTCTTCCCCCGATTAGGGAGCGGCAGAGAGAGAGAGAGAGAGAGAACGTTGCATGGGATTTGCATTTCCGGATCTCTTGTCTCACTTTTACCACTGCCCTACGCCCTCTTTCAAATGCCCCTGATATCAGACATGCCAAAGACAGGCGTGAGTGTCGCGCAACGCGTAGCAACGTCGTCTACTGTTGGCAACCCTCGAGTTTATATCCTAAAATTGCTCCCTCTTTGAGAGGGGATAATGAATAAGTGCGAACGTGATACGTTCCAGCCTCCCCCCCCCCCCCCTATTTAGATCCTTGATCTTGCTGATTAGCGGTTGTGAAGATCTGTTGGTAAATCGAAAATGGACAATAAAACATTCACACCTCGTGGCAGCTTCTCAAAAGGGGCCGGAAGGGAGGTAGACGTGTCTCGGTCGATCGGTGAGAGCACGCGGGAAGACAGGAGAGAAAGCCGCAGTACTCTGTACAGACATGAGCTGAAGCAGAGAGAGGATTTGCAATTCTAGCCCATCTAGACCCATCTGTACATTCCCGTTGTCTCAAACCATCTCATGCACGTCAACGGCGCCACTTGCGACAGGCTGGACTGGGCTGACTGTGACATGGCCCATGAGAGACAGTACAAGCGGAGATAGACAGACGGAGGTGTGAGAGTGGGGGATGAGGAGGGCTCCCGTCATCAGCTTACTTCTGCATCACGGTACGTACGGGCGTGCTCAGGAACGACATAAGCTTGCTTCACCTTCAGACCTACCTCTTGGCAAGACAGGACGAGGCAACCACTCAGCATATAAGGCGCGGCGAGATGGACCCGTAGATCATTTGCAATGATATGTAAAATTCCTTTTACCTCCTAAAACTCCCTTAAACCCTCGACGGGCAGGCTACGTGTCACGGTGATGCTGTGGTGTGGTGTTTGAAAGGCAAGATGGCCTGGAACTGTGGTGCTCGAAAGATGCCCGTTCAACTCCCTTTCTTCCCTTTCCGATAATATCAGACACAATTCCTGCCAGCTGCAAAATAAATCAAAATCGGAGATGCCTTGCCTCCCGTTTGGAGAGAGGAAGCCGTTTCCTCGAGCCTCCTTTCCCTCCCTTCTTTGGCCCTATGCTGTGCCCATACTGGGCCATGTTGATGTAAGACAAGAGAGGAGATGATCGAAGCCGAATTCGGGTAAATCCAGCTTCCACCCACCCTGACCATCTCCGTCTTCACTGTTTTTTTTGTTTTTGGAATCACACCCTCCTCGAAAGACTTCCCCCTTCTCCGTCCCAGCCACAGCTGGCTAAGTTGGTATGTACCGAGTGTCCTTTTCCTTTCTAATCAAACGGCATCATTCACTCGTCCCAACACCCTAGCTAGTCGTCCAGTCCCGTGGATTGAGAGGGAAGGAGGCGGCCTCCGTGGCCCTAGCTTGGGAAGATCTTGTCTCTGCTACTGGACCCCTGCGAACTCACACTATTGCGGTTTGTGTGGTATGGTAAATTCTCCGGCTTGAGATTCTCATCCGTCGAAGAGGCCGTGCCCTGGCGCTGCGGCGCTTTCTTTGTGAGCACTGCCCTGGGTTTCTCGGCCGGTAGCGACTCGCTGCTGGTGCGTGTCTTGGTCAGCTTGCGAGACGCACGTTTCTGCGAGGGCGCTTGCGACTGAGTCTCAGCAATGGACCCCAGGTCCGTAGTGGACCTTGTGTCGCTCGATACACGACTAGGTGTCGAGGTGCTGTTTGACGGTCGGCTATATGCCGGGTTGTCTCTAATGGGAAGGTGGAAGCTCGCTGCGGCTCCGTTCTGGTCGGTGGTTATGTATGAAGGCGAAGTGGAAGAAGAGCGGATGGCATCAGGAGATGGGGCGGCCTGGGTGGCTGTTAGCGTTGAAGCCTCGAAAATACGACTTGAGTCTCGCTTACGGATGCTTGAGGGCTGACATAGGTGTCCAACTTCTTCTTTAGCACCTCCGAGCGCACCGGCTTCGCGAGATAGTCGTTCATGCCTGCCGCTAGACACTTTTCTCGATCTCCTTGAATGGCCGATGCCGTCATGGCGATGACGAGGATCTTCCGTACAGCGTCTATAGAATCCTTGCGAATCATCTTGGTCGCCTCGTATCCATCCAATACGGGCATCTGTACGTCCATGAGAACCACATGGTAGGGTCGACCTTCCCTAGCCTTTTGCCGCAAGCCCTCCACTGCCTTCAATCCGTTCTCGTAAGCATCCACGGTAGTGTAGCCTAGTCGCTGCGCATACTGAATGGCAATCTTCTGGTTGATGGGGTTATCCTCTGCAACGCAAATCCTAATCTGGTCTTTGGGAACGGCAGTGAGGTCCAAGAATGGATTGGGCGACTCGCCGCGCTCGAGGTACGCAGAGCGCTCTACGGCTGGAGGTGACTTCATTTGCTGCGCGTCTCCGGCAGAAACGTCAGACTTGGCTTTATCGAAAGTGACCTTGAACCATGCCGTTGTTCCCACGCCTTCTTGACTGTCGAGTTGAATTTTGCCCTTCATCATCGTTTCGATCAGAGACTTGCAAATGCTCAGACCGAGGCCACTGCCGCCATACTTCCGTGCTGTGCTAGTATCTGCCTGGCTGAAGGGCTGGAAGAGCTTGACCAATTGCTGTTGGGGGATACCAATTCCGGTATCCTGAACTCTGAAGAGCAATGTTGCTTTGTCGTTGGTCTCCGATTCCACCCGTGCACCAATCGTAATCGAACCGTCCTCAGTAAACTTCAAACTGTTGCTGATAAGATTGCCTAAGACCTGATGGAGTCTGATGGGGTCTCCAAAGATGAGCAGAGATGGCAGGTCGATATCCTGTATGATCTTGACGTTTTTCTGTTTTGTCTTTTGCCGGTTGCTGTAGGACACCGCTCGAACAACCTCCCGGACCATTTCTTCTGGATTGAAAGCAATCACGTATAGCTTCATCTTGTCGGCCTCCATTCTGGAAAAGTCGAGTATGTCGTTAATGACCGTCAGCAATAACTCTGCCGACACCTTGATGTTGTCCGCCATCTCTTGTTGGTCCTTGTCTAGCTCGCTGTCTTTCAGCAACTCCGAGTTGCCAATAACACCGTTGAGCGGTGTTCGCAGCTCGTGCGAAACGTTGGCAAGGAATATCGACTTGGCCTTGGCGGCCTCTTCAGCGAGCTTGACGTTACGCTTGGCCTCAGCTTCAGCGTGCTTGGCTTTCGTCTCTGCTTCCAGTGCCTTTGCAAGGGCGCGCTTCTGCAACGCAACCATAGAGACGTTCTCTGCTGAGACTTTCTCTACGGCCTTCATGGCCAGAGCATTCGAGTAACTGATGCCAATCTGGTTGACTAGCAGCTGAAGGACGGATACATTACGATCAGTGAAAGACCCTGGCTCGCCCTCGAGATAGAGAACTCCGAGTAGCGGTTTTGAGCCGTGGCAGATGGGGATCGCGATGATGGCCTTGCTAAGGACGTTCCGCTGTAACCAAGCCTCGCTCACGTTACCAAAGCGCTCATCACTGATGATGTCGGGAATGAAGACAGCCTCTCGGAACCGCGTGCAGTAGAGAATAACGTTCTCAGCAACGAGTGAGGTGCCAGCAAGTGGAAGACCAGGGATATGAGCTGATGCTCCCCGTTCCGGGTCGCCGCTGGCTGCGAGAGACCACCCAGACTCGTCCGAATCCTGCACCACAATAGCGGCTAGCGTCGCCGAACCTCCGCAGGTCTGCAGAATGACATCGCACATGGTTTTGAGGAGCTCGTCGACCCGAAGAACGCCAGAAATGACCTGGGATGAGAGCAGGATCGCGTGCAAATCGATCATATCGAGTGCTGGCAGACCTGCCCCAGGTTCATTGTGCTCATGCATTGAGCCACGCCACGCGCCAATCCGATCGCCTTTGATATCGGCGATGGCGGTGTGGTTGGACTGTTGCATCCCTTCCGGTCCTTCCTCACCATCTACAGCGCGGTAGTCAACAGTTCCGCTATCTCCCGCGAAATCGGTCTGAACCGCAGCGTCTATCGCTCTGGGATTCCTTGTCGGGCTGTGAAGAAGGATGGCGTGTTCTTCCTCTAGGCGCTCGGCGACGGCGACGGCGCCGAACTGACGGTAGAACGCAATGGCATCCCTAAAGGCAGAGCGAGCCAAGCGTCGAGCCTTGCGCCTGACGAGTGTGCCGGCCATTAGTGTGTTGCCTAGTGCCGCTTCGAAAATGTAATTATGCTCCTCGGCGTTATCCAGAGCCTCCTCGTAGAGCTTAACCGCGCCACCATAATCGCCGGTCAATTCTGCAACTTGAGCCTCTAGAATCTTGGACCATGAAAGGTAGTTCACTTCGGTGTAGACCTCCCATTCCTTGATCCGTTTGGTCAGTTCGCGCAGGGAGCGTAGAACACTTTCGGTTTCGCCGTCCAGGCTGCTGGGATCTAGCCGGGGGTCGTTGAGCCTCCGAAGCATCCTTCCCGCGAGAGCGAGCCCGTAGAAAAAGATGACTAGCCTGCTGTTGCGAGCCGACCATAGATTCTGGATGGACTCGTAGCACATCTCACCTATCTCAATGGCGCGATCGTAATGGCCGTAGATGAAGAGCGGAACTATCTCAATGGTCTCATACCAAAGAACCGACCGGTTGCCGTTTTGTGTGTTGGCTCTCAGCCATGACTTGTAGTTGGCCGAATTATGATGATCATCAGTCATGACCTCGTAGGGATCAGTCGTCCGCGTCTTGCCCTGCAAAGCTCGACAAGCTTGCCGGATGGAGATGAGAAGAGTGCCACCCCGCGTGTCCTGGTGCCAGTTGGGGATCTCTTCACAGCCGTACTGGCAGAAAGCCTCCAGGTCGGCACAATTCTCGCTTGCAAAGAACTTGAGCTGCGCCGCAAGTCCAAAGCTGAGTATCGAGGAAATCCGATCCCCTGCTGCAGCCGCATAGTCGACCGAGCCCTCCAGGTGCGTCAAAGCCACGGCGATCGGAATCTGAACATGTCCGATGAAGTTGGCGTACAGCATGTAGCCTCTAGCCATCGAGAAGGGATCACGGTATCGGTCAAGTAGCTCAATACAGACGTTGCCCACCTCAACTGCAAAGCTCACCATGTTGAATCTGGCCAGGGCGATGAGACCAAGATGTAGAAACGCCATGCCTGATTGGGGGAAAGCGCCGTGGGTGAGATGTAGATCCAGCATGACGAGGGAGAGATGGTAAAATCGTAGGTAGTCGCTCCACCACGCAGCGCTTACAGTCTCCGCCAAAACAGCACCGATAGACGGCAAGCCGGGGTCTGATGATGGTGTCGGATTCATCAGCTCGTTCTTGTCCATGGTCTGTATTCTCACAGACATCTTCTCAAACTGATCGTCGCATTTCTCGAAGGTGGGCTCGTCATCGAATTGCACGTCAAGTGCCTGTAGACATTCTTTCAGTGCAGCCAGCGCGCCTCGAGCATTGCCACCTTGCGCTAGTGTTCTGGACTGGAGGACATAGGCTGGCGCCTTGTCCAGAGGGCTTCGTGCACACTGGAAAATTGTCTCTAAGAGGGAGTTAGCTGCGGCGTGGTTGCTCATGTAGAGGTAGCATTCCGCAGCCCTTAAATGCAGCTGCATCGTCTCATCATACGAGACATCCTCAAGCTCGTCGTTCCATGGGTCTGGCTGAAGTAGAGCGACTGCCGTACTGTAAAGTTTTGAGCCAGTTGGACGGGCACAGTTCTCTACGGCCGACTGTGCGCACTCGTACAGTAGCTTACGGTACGTCTGGCGTCTAGGGACACGCTTCTTGATAATGTCGACGGACTCGCAGATGTGCGCAGCGGTATTGTCCTTGGCCCTGGGATCAACTGAATAGTACTTGAGAAGCGTCTGCGCAATCACGAAATGCATCTTTCGCGCGTTGCATTCCTTTAATGCTGCCGACGCCTGGATAAATCGGTCGTGGGCGAAGCGGAATCTATCGTCTGTCTCGCTCGGGACGATGATGTAGGCCTGAACCGCGGCTTGCAGTCCATTGATTGCCTCTTGCTGAGAGTACGTCGCGTGGTATTGTTCGTTACCTGGGCCTTGACAGGATGCCTCCTCATTGTCTTGGTACTGGAACTCGCCACTCAGAAGTCTGCAAATGAGCTCGAATGAGAAGGAAGATCCGAGGAGTGCAGCCCATGCAAGTATCGCTCTAGAGGCTGGAGGTAGCTCGCTCAATCTTCGTGTGATGAAACCAGTATCGAGTATGTCATAATCGCTTGCGCCTTTGAAGTGTTCGAAGAGTCTATCAAGATCGAAATGCCAATTGCTGTCTCTGTAGTCGTACCATATACACTTCTTCCGGTAACATGCGCTCAGCATTTCTCGCATATAGAACGGGTTACCTGCTGTTTTGGACTGTATGACTAAAGCCAGAGGGAGAACCTCCTCCTTTGGTCTGCACAGAGTCGTCGCGACGTATTGAATGATGTCGTCCTCGCAGAGGGGAGTAAGTTTGATTCGGGTCACTACGGGACCGCCTGACCGTGGGAACTCTGCTTTCTGGTCAGCATTTAGTGACGGCCTTGGAAGGTGCGAGAAACTTGCCTTCGGACTCAGGGGGTTGAATGATAGATTGGACTTGTTCCGGTGATAGCTCCTCTGGACGATAGGTTATGATGACGACCATCTTCATTCGTGCCCCAATAATCTGGGTGATCAACTCCATGGACTCATCATCCGCAAAGTGAAGGTCATCCAGCACAAAGCATATAAACTTGTGTGACGTGAACATGCGAAGTACGTCGAGGAAGGTGTTCATCAACCGCATGGTTTTGGTTGCACCGCCAGTTCGTAGGAAGTCCTGGGACGCTTGCGAAGAGATGACGGTAGGCTTGTTCAGGCGACCCGGTGAGCTTCCTGGTGAGGAGCCACGCCTCTTGAGCCCTGCCCTGATGGACCGAGTCTGAGTTATGCTTTGAGTGATGGACACTGATCGTGGAACGGAGTTGTCTAGGGCGCCAATGAGGAAGTCCGGTAACCCAAGAACCTTGTGCAGCATTGGCCACACCGGACGAACGTACTGCTTTAGCGCCTGGTGAAAAGGTGTATCCGTATTCCGTTCGCCGAACACCTGTTTGAAGAGTGACGACAGCAGCTTAAGCAGTGGTCCAAAAGCAGTTCGGCGCGCGGTATCGAATTTTGCCGTGGCACAATATCCCCTCCGCCTGGCTTCAGCGAGTACCGACTGGTAGAGGCAGCTCTTGCCCAAGCCCCCGGCTCCTTCGACGAGGACGATCTCGCAGTGCCCGCGCCTACGGAACTTTGCTGATCCGAGCTGACGTGACAAACTCGAGGACGATGATTCCACTGCACTCAGTCGGTTGCTGTCTGTTGGCGTACCTACACCATCAATGAGACTTCGGGTTTCGATCGAGACCGACTGGTGTCTTTCCCATTGCCTCTCCCACGGCCTGGTCATTCTTGCAAACGGCCCAGAATTAGACGAGGCGATGGTGTCGCCCGATATCGTCTGGGTGTCGGATAGGACGGATGGAACAAAACTAGCCTTTGACTGCCTAGGATCAGAGGACGTAGTATGTGTGAAGGATCCGCTGCGACGTGTTGTGCCTTCTGCCGAGCTTGCGCCCTCGCTCGACAGGTCTCCGCAGTCAGGGAGCTCAACCGAGAGCTGCGAACCATCGGAGAAGCGGTTATTTGTTGTAGACTTTTGATTCATCGAATGGCTCTTGGCGACCCGCTCAATGACTCTGATAACTTCTGCTCTCTCCTTTTGCCGACCGATCATCATACTGGGTAGAATGAAGAAGGACGAAATGTCTTTTTCGCCAATCTTCCACTCCTTAAGCGCTAACCAGTCGCCGTCGGTCAAGAACTGCTGCACCTTGAGAAGGTCATGCTTCAAACCACTAGCCGAGTGATATCGATCAGCGACGGTCTTGGCCGTGCACTTCTGTATGATACGCCCGATAACGTCGGGTATATCGAGCCGAACTTGCGATACATTGGGAATTCTCCGCCCTAGGACGCCTTGCACAATATCGAGGGGCGTTTCGCCATCAAATACCGGCTGTTGTGTGAGTAACGTCCAGAACACGACCCCAAGTGAGTAGATGTCAGTCCGACTATCAGGTTCTGCCGGCATACGACCTGTCTGCTCTGGGCTAATGTAGAGGAGCTTATTCTTGGCGCCTAATTCTTTTGACAAGCTCGACCACGAGGTGCTTGACAGGCCGCCCTCGAAGGATCTCGTCCCCGTGCCGAAGTTGATGAGCTTAACCGAGTTTGTCTCGATATTGAAGTGGAAGGCGTCTGGCCTGATCTCTCCATGCGTAATCACCTGCCCATAGTGGAGAATTTCGAGACACTGACTTGCGCCAATGGCAAAGTCGAGAAAGTATTGTAGGTCTATCGGAGGCTTCAAACGTAGATTCTGTTTGCGATACGCCTCGTATCGGTCGTCAACCTTCCTGGCCTTGTAGAATGCCGGTCCCATGTCCATCAGATCAAAGAGGTAATTCTGGCCGGGATGCTGATAAATTGCGACCACAATGGAGCCCCGATCGCCAGGGTGAGGGGCGAGACGGATGAGGTCGAGTGGCTTGACAATGTGCAGTCCTTGAGGGTCGGCCGTGGCAAACAGGTTCTTAGCTATGTGGAAGGCTCTCTCCTCACGGAGCACATGGTAGGAGACGCGAGCCACCACTGGCTCTTCTACGTATGATATCTCTGCGGCGCCGGCGGGAACCGCGGGCGGCGAGGTGGCCGAAAAGTCGCTGCTTGCATCGCTGGGTAGGCCTGAGTGAAGGCTGGAGGAACTCGCATGTTCGGAGGGCGACGGTCGGCCGGACTGTAGTCTCGCGATCGAGCCGGGACTCGAGGCGGGTAAGGATGAAGAGGACGAGGGCTGGTATGGAGATACAAATCTGGTGCCGCAAATGTGCCTATCCGCGCAAGTTAGCCGTTGCAATATGCTCGAGGAGAGGTAGAGAGAAAGCGACAGAGATTACTGGTAGGCAATGATGTGGGGGCAGGACTCACCAGATGTCGTAAGATGTATGGAAGGGAAGCCGGGACTCGTCCCAGGTAAAGCCGGCGATCTGGCGAAGGCGCTCAAAAAGGCGCGAGGGAGGGTCGAAGTGGTCGTCCGACACGATGGCAGTGCCGTCCATCATTGAGGCCGGTCATTAGGCGCAAGCCGGAGCTTGGAGGCCAAGTGCAGTTGTCGATGGTGGGGGTGAGTGGGATTTGGGGGGGGGGGGGGCGCGCAGTTCCTTTAGTATCGGCGTCGGCCTTTGTTTCGCAATCGGCGATGATGTCGTCGCGAGAGTCAAAGTTGACGTAGATGGGGTCGAGATTGTCAGCTAGAGACTACCGTCCATGTCATATTTCTATGAGAAACTCGAGGCGCAACTTGTACGACGGTGGTTGGTAGGCAGGAGGATTACAGTGCGGATGGTGTTGATGTTTCTGTGCATGCAAGAGGTCTCTCGCATCGGCCGGGTATGGGTATGCGCGCGCAATCGGATCAGGTGGACGAGGGGTGGTCGGCCTCGCTATGGATACGGCGAAAGGCAGCAGCAACAGCAAACTTCAGCAGTCTGGGAACTGAGGCAGACGCAGAATAACTATGACTTTGGAGGGCGTCGTCGGGCGACGGACGGGTGAGCGAGTGGGCAGCTGTCGGAGGAGGAATAACCAGACGTTGACGGTGCTGTTTGAACCTCTCGCTTTCACACCTTGGACCTCGACAGAACAGGACAGGACAGGACAGGACCTTTGCTTGGCCGCCTTGCTGACCACTTAGGTTCGAGATGGGGCAGGATGCACGTTGCACGGAGACGTTGGGCGATGGTGGCATCCGGCGACAGGGCAGCCGGAGGTTGTTTAAGGTGCGGCACTGTACAGGCGCGGGCAAGGGCAGGCTGAAGTTCTGAAGCAGCAGCACCCTTGAGGAGTGGAGTACGTAATGATTTTTAAGAGGAGCAAAGGGCACCTCCCAAGCGCCAGGGACCAAGCCCACGCCTTCCCATCTCAAGCACCAAGTTCTCTCCCACCTTAGCTGCTACGGAGTACGGATAACTTAGGTACCTTTACCTTGCTGCGTGAGTGCTAAGGCATCTTTAGTATCCATCCGCAATGGGACGTATCTATCCAGCTTCCAAGTGACAATGGAAGTCTGCACCTGCCCTGGAAAACTTGAACCAAACCAGGCCAACTCCGGGCACTGTAACCTTTCAGTTGTCTCTTGGAATCGTTCCAAGAAAGCAGAGAATACTTACGCCTGGAAGTTGCGGTTGAAGTTGCACACAGAGCACCCCACGTTGTGTTAGGTATCCGGACAAAACAGAGAATTCCAGGACCGACACGCATGTGCCTTAACAAGTTAGAGGCCAAATAGGGAATGGGGTAGCTATCCAGTATGGGAGGCATCAAACGCCTCCCCAAACTCCCCTCGTCAAACATGCAAACGTTGGTGTCTCTGTTAGACAAAATCGGGACCCACGCCAGTGACATCTCGGCGTCTTTTCCTTGTCTTGTTCCTTTCGTTCCCCTCAGGTCGCTCCTTGTTCCTCTTCTCCTATTCTCTATACGAATACACAGAAAAGCAGGCTCTACCAGGGGAATTCGATACTCTTATGAACAAGGCTCCGCAGCGGACATGTCTGCGCTGAAATTCGGAGAGATGAACAAAACAGATCACCAAGAACGAGGAAAAGGAAGATGCATGCCAATCTAACCCCTGGTCACAGCAGTGGAGGAAGAGAGAAGCTATCCACTTATTTGGGGGCTCTAGGCCCTTGGGCAAAAAGCATTCCCAGCCCATCATTACTCGTTCCTATCTCCAGTGCTCCAACGGAAACCGCAGATAAACGTGAATGGAATCATGAAAGGCGTATTCGGCAGGCAGAGGTAGCTCGAAACATAGGTAGGCATGCAGAAAACAGTACAAGAAAGGGGTAAACATCCACCACGGGCAATGATTGGCAGGAACAAAAAAACAATCAACGCTACGTTCTCACCTTCTCTACGGTCTGTTTGGCCGAGCTCGTAGATACAAAGTGTCGATCATCGGAGCTCTCAGCCGTCCACATTCGCAACGATAAACAGGGCTAGCTGGGGTGACACACAGCATCTTTTGCTCAATCCCCCCCAATGGGCGCCCATCCATGCCCACCAGTCAATCGACAGGCGGTACCTCATGCTCATCGACTCTGAGAGCCTCACCTCACCTCTTTCATCCACCAAGCTCCCGACGGACTTTTCGCCAGTTGGAAAATGACGGGAGACATGAGATTACAGAAAACCTTCAATTCGTTCTCAAATCTACGGATAGATCAGGCCGCCCTCCTTCACACTTGAACTGCCGGAGCCTTTGTTCCCTCCTTTTTTTTTGTCCGTTTCCGCTGCTTTCCACCCGTCGCCCTTTCTCCGTCTCGCTTGGTCCGCCGCGCCATGATGGAACCTATTACTTTAGCACCACCGGCTTTTCTTCCCCTTCCCCCCATCCAACGAACCCAACTCCCGGTTCCCGTCCTGTTTTTCCTTGCAACGGGCACCGTTGACCGCTAATTCCTTTACTGTTCCGTTTCAACACCCAGGCCTCTTCTTTGCTGATGTTTTCTGCACGCCCGGTAATTCGCCGGAGCTGAATGTTTCCGTTTGACGCCTTGCTCGAAGTCTTGAAGCCCGAAGGCTACCAAACGCTCTGTATATAACTGCTCGAGCATAGACATGTTGACCGATCTCAGTAAAGACATATTCACTGATCTTCTAAGGTAGCCCTGGTTCCAACCTCAATCTACTCTAAGGACACTCAAAGGGTCCAAAGTTCAATATGAACCAAACATCCAGCCGTTTCTTCATGCCAGGGTAGGAACAACGCCGTCCCTTTCACCAAGGAAATAAAATAAACAGCGCCCCCACTGGTCGTAGGCTCCGCCTTTTGGTTCTCAATCTCATGGCACTGACAGCGCCGTCGCGACTCATTCGCATACCCAACCCCCTGCTCTCCAAGTTTTCTAGTCCCAGAATTTCAGCTTTCCCACCTTCCCTAGAGAAATTCTCGAAGGTGTCTTCGGGGGGACGGGGGGGAGTAAAGATCTAGTAACGAGACTAGCATCGAATCATCGAAGCTACCTTGGGTATCCGTCTCATCTTTTTTCAAGATTTCTTGCAGATACCTGAGTCGTGACACATACTGCACACACACACACACACACACAATAGAGTCCTGCTTCGAGAGTTTAGGGCGAACAAGTTGAGCCCAAAAGACAAAAAAGAAAATGATGTCATTGGCGCACTGCCAAACTAGTCTGTGCTACGATGCTACCTCACTCGGACCCTGAGATTTATTGATTTTATTTTTTGGGCTGCGTCGCTTTAGTTTAGCGTTGCTGACGCGCATTTCGAGAAAAGGGTGTGAGAAAAGAAGTATCCGTACAAGCAAGCCATGAAATGGTGTTGACTTGCGTGACTGCAACAAACCACTTCGCCACTTTTTTTTTTTTCGTTTCCCGTCTGATAATACCCAGATTCTTTTACCCGCGGGGTCTGGGGACATTACTAAGAATAAAAGCTCTCGCACGACCAAAACACCGAGTCCCTGTTTCTACGTGCAATAATGGCATAGGAATATAGGTCCCTGAACCAGTTTTCCATTGAACTCCATAAACCAAATATCAGGAATCAGCGTCGTATTAATGGAGAAAATAAAACACAGAATCTCGTATCAACTCATCCGAGGTCGTGATGGCAGTCCCAAATTCCTTGGTTCTAATGAATTGAGCCTCGCATGCTAGATATACGCCGACTAAGTTTACGTCAACGAGAAATAGCGGGGGAAAACGAGAAAACAAGCGAATAAGGACATGTCAGACGCCAAAGACAAGGGTGCCAAACTCAACGGCTCGCTGGATCGTGACTTTTTCAGATAGACGCTAGTTCGACCGGATGGCGGACCGTCTCCCTTGATATGCCCAGTACGCATCAGTCACACTACACCTTCATGCACAACGGTCGCAGCTATGCGGACGCACCTCCGGCGCCGAGGCCAGACGGGAGACGACATAGCAGTATCATCAGCGTAAACAGACAAATGCTCGAATGGTGTGAGATTGTAGAAGCCAAACATCTATACTCTATGTAGGTATTCTTTTTCGAGGGCATGTCAGCCCCTCGCGCCCACAGTTGCGCACGACTCTCAACATCGACATCGTGGGTATGGCGCACCGGATGATATTCCCTCCCCCGCCCCAATTCAACATCGTAAAAACTCCCAGGTATTCTCTTTATGCTTAGCCAAAAGCAGCTCCCTTTTCCTGAGCTTGCCTCCTTCCATTGGTCATGCCCATGCTTCTTTCTATTGCTTTATAGCAACAAGACTTGAAAAAATCAATGCAATTCTTTGCCTCCTTTTCTAACAGCTTCCGCCACCAAACGGTAGGCTTACTTGCTGTGCGAGGGAATGCCGTTGGCTTGGGAGCCGAAGGCGAATGACGCGGCAAGACGACGCTCCTCGTTCTTGCGGCTGTTGACGAAGTCGGGGTAGTTGAGCGTGAGCTCGACTGCGCCGTTGACAATGTTGTCGGCGGCCTCGACACCCAACATGAAAGAGTGGTCCTGGTTACCGACCTCGTATCTCCAGGAACCGAAGCGGCCACGGGAGTAGATGCCCTGGTCGAGGAGCTTGGGAAGGAGGTCCTTGAGGACACCCTCTCTCTCGAGCGAAGGAGTGGGGTAACCGTGGTTGAAGCGGCGGTGGTATGTGGAGACGATCTCGTCCTCGGGCTTGATCATCTCAGTGTTGATGAGACCCTGGATGCACTGCTGGAGGAGCTTCTCCTGCTCGACGGGCTTCATGGAGGACTCGGAGACCTCAAGCATGATGGACCAGTAGGGACCCTCCTTGGCCTCGGTGGAGGAGGCCTTCTCGCCGTTGGCGAGGTACAGCGTAGGCAGCTTGACGTCGGCCTCGGGCTGGTTGTAGGGGGAGTAGTTGGAGAAGATGGTGGCGCGGTAGAAGGGGCAGTTGTCCTCGGGGAAGTACAGCCAGCACTTGTCACCAATGCGGTCGGGGCGAGCACCACGGATACCGACACCGATAACGTGGGTGGAGGAGTAGAACAGGCCCTTGGACAAGCTGACGAGCTCCTGGTTGCCCATGCGCTCA